AGTGAAATCCTACAGAAGCATTTTTAAAGACAATTTTTCCAAATAAAATAAAGGCTCTGTTAGTATTGAAATTTAACCCATACGTAACAGAGCAGAGAGGATGTCAGTAGTCCTAATTGTCCTTAAAACCCTGGAGAAACTAAGCAGTTGGTAAGGTGCAAATGAGGAAACAAAAGGCCCTTGGGTTAAAGTGGATGTCAGCCTGGAAAAAACCTCTCAGCCAGCACCAAGGCACTGCCACCAGGGCTGGGCACTCTAGCTTGGATTTCATCCCAGCAGTTTCTCAGCTGAAATTCAAGTTCTCCTGCCTGCAAAGGCAGAGCTTGGCCTCTGGCTGAGGAGTTGCAGTTACCTGTGTCTGTCCTGGGTGCCTCCTCAGTAACCACAGGTAAGCCAGAGGCAAAGAAATCCATTATCACTGCATAAATATCTGGTTTCAGCAAGTTCCAGTCCAGGTCTTCGCTTTCCTAGGGGAATTAGCAGGGGAATCAAGAAGAGTTACACACAGATTTTTGTGCTGAAAATATCCTCAGGGACTCTCAGTTTGATGCATGGGTTGGATCACACAGTTCTGTCAAATCCAGCTGTGCCAAAGGAGTTGAAAGGTCTCCTTGTTTGCAAGCCAACTGCCATTAAAGTGTTAACTGAGAGGTGTGAAAATCTCCTAAACATATTCCTGGACACACATTTTTACCAAACTGTTTCAGACATTCGAGATTAGCAACCAGTTTTCAGTCCCTGAGCTCCTCACACAGTGAGAGCACAAGTGCCTGGTCCCCACACAGCTCCTGTCCCTGCTGACACAGCTCCACACCCTGAGCAAACAGCTCTGCCCACAGCACACCCCATCCTGGGCCCACAAACACATTCCAGGTTGGATCCAGCCTTGAGCAACCTGTTCTGGTGGGAGGTGTCCCTGCCCAGGGCAGGCGTTGGGGCTGGATGACCTCTAAGCTCCATTCCAACCCCTAAAATTCTAGGAATGTTGACCATTTCCAAGATCAGAAGAATCTACACCTTCCCTGGGAAACCCATTCCAGTGCTTAGCCACACACTGCAATTATTTTTCTGCCTTTTCTGTTAATTGAGGACATTCTCTCTGGAATCTTCCATCAGGCATGGTCAAGAGCCTGACTGGATCTGCTCTGGGGTCATTTCCAGAGAGCTGAACCTCTTCTTACCTTGGTGATTGTGATAAAATCTGGCCCAAAGAAAACACTTTTCACTCCTTCAATCCTGAATAACTGTCTGTTAAGGAAACAAACAAAACAAAGCAGAAATGCATCCACGTATCAGGCAAACTCCTCAAGATTTATTTCAGCTGTCACAGAGAGGTCTAGAATATACTCCCAGACAAAAACAAGCACTGAACCCAAAGCCACTAGGAGAAACTCAGATGAACTGGGAGCTGAATACATCATAAAGCTGTAAAGGTGTTTTTATAATTATGGGGGGGAAAGTTAAGAATAAACCTTCAGTGATGGAAAAATCCACAGGATGTGCAGTTCAGATTAGCCAGAGCTGAGCTACTGAGTCTGTTCTGCAGCATTCAGGGGCTATTCACTGCCTGTTTCCCAGTTCTGCAGTGACAGGACTTCCAAGTAACCACCTGAACTAAATGTTGTGATGGGAATGACTTTGTGAATCAGAAGAATCACTGGTGATGCAGCAACTGCTGACAAATACTGACTTACAACACTCTGTGTTAGATCTGTAACACCTCTCAATCCTGTTGCATAAACCAGACCAAGACTGCCATGGGGAGTACAGACAACTCCAGCAACAACAACAACCTTCCAAGCCTTCATCTCAGGCCCAAGGGAAGCAGCAGTGAAGTCCCAAATCCAACCAAGCTGCTCCTGAGGAGGTGCAGAATGCTCAGAAGTCGTAGAGACAGAGCCCAAACTAATGATGATGTGTTTACCTTGCAAGAGGTGAGCAAAATGCTGCAGCTGGTGTGGAAAACTCCATAGTCCTTGACTCCAGCACTTCCTTCCCTGGGATAAACTTCAAGCTATTTGGGTTTGGTGTGTCCTGAGTTTGAATGAACATACCTCTCGCTGGAAATACAAAAACAAAGGAGAAGAAGAATGCTGCCATGTAACTCCTCTTCCAGCATCATCACACCCTGTTCACCTCCTGAGCAGTTTTGCTAACCCTCTCTTAAAGATGCACAGGATTTCTAGGGTTTGGGTTTCACCTCATGATCCAGTACTACAGCAATAAATGTAACCACAACTGGAGTGAAGTGACTCCTGCTCAGGTTTGCCACAGGGTGACAAATGACTGAGCCACCAGTGACCCTCCAGGAACTGAACTGACCAAGCAATGTACACCAGAATTACTTACTGGGAAAGCTGTTAAAAGATCAGTTTCTCCCAAAGTTCCTTTTGCAGTGTGGCTTTTTCACCAGAAGAGGGTAAAAAAAACCCTGATTTTGACTAACATTCTGCCTGTAATCATGTACACTTAAAAGTGTTTCCCTGTAGATGTGTCCAGGCAGCACATCCTGAGCTGCCACTGAAGCTCAACATCAGCTAGGGACAATCTCCTCTCTCCTGAGTCTCCTTGGTGATCTTAGAGGTCTTTGCCAAGTCCCATTTTGCTCATGACTCTCTGGTATCAACTGACAAATCTCATCTAGAAACTGCCCAACTGCTGCTGCATGTGTCTGTCAGAGTGACTTCCATCACCACCACAAGCCACAGACACCCTCAGCACACACACTGTTCATCCCTGGCTGGTGTTTACCTGCACAAGGCCACACTGCAGGGGGGACAGGTGGTTTCTTCTGCACCAGGTGGTGGAAAGGCTGTCGAGTTGTCAAATGAGGATCTTTCAACATCATGTGGCAGAACCTAGAGAAAAGTAAATTTACTAACAATTTCCAAGTTGCACAGCTGCACTGCCCCACACAAAGAGTATTGCAGATGCTTCCAGTAATCCCAGGACTCAGCAAGATATCCACCTGCCTTAAACCTCTCAGGTAATACAGCAAGCTCACAGGTTAGATCACAAAACAGCCCTTTTTTCCTCCTCAGTGCTGTCTCTCATTTCATAGCAAAACAGACACAGTTCTCCTAAAAACTCATCTAGACTCCCTTCAGTCACTACAGACAGGCAGATCACCTTCCTTACCTGTCATGGAACAGGATAAATCACCCTAAGGGAACCTTTTGTCTTCCCAAGCTCCTGGAAATCTAGTCTGGACTAAACATCTTATTTGCAGAAGATTCCAGACAGCTGAGCTGAATCCAACCCCAAACACCTCATGCCACAGATGAATTATTACACACTGAAGATCAGTTATTAGCTGGTTTCTCTCCTCCTCATCAGGTATAAGGAGAGGGGAAAGCAGGTACACCAAGTGAATTACCCCTTATTGCAGGGTCCTGAGCACAGGTATGGTGGGAGAATTACCTCCTGGCTCAGGGTGCTGAGCAGCCTGGGGAGGAATTCCCTTCACTCAGGGTCCTGAGCACAGGGAGGGGAGGAATTCCCTTCACTCAGGGTCCTATGCACGTGTATGGTGGGAGAGTTACCCTCTAGCTCGAGGTGCTGAGCAGCCTGGGGAGGAATTC